AATATCTCATCCTCCTCTTGCTCAAAGTGAGTGATCATCTTCCACCACTCAGCCTTCTTGGAAGGAGCACAATATTGGGTCATGAACTTGTTGAGTAGGTCATCCCAAGAGGGGATGGATAGAGCTGGACGGTTATTGAGCCATCAGAGTGCCTTCCCCGCCAAAGAATAGAGGTAGAGCTTCAATAGCAATGCCTCCTCGGGGACGCCATTTATCTTTAAGCTTCCTGCTAGCTCAAGAAACCTTTGGACATGCTCTCGTGGTGATTCATGTGCAAGCTAGTGGAAGTAGGAATTTTGTTGAATCATCGTCACGAGAGAGGGCTTGATCTCAAAGTTTTTAGCGGCTACGAGTGGATGTAAGATGGGAGATTGGATATCCGCCACCCGTGGAGCCATGTAATAGCCCATAGTCCTTGGCCCTTCCCCAGCTCCCGCTTCTCCTTTTGGGTTTGGAAGCGGATTAGGCCCTCAGTGTTGATTTCCCGCCATCTCAACTTCAACTCCTCCTTCAATTACTTAAATTCCAGGACCAACTTGTTCTCCCCTTTCTTCCCTTCTCCTTCTTGCCTGCGCTTGCTCCCTCTCTCGAGCTAGAAGTTAGAGGGTCCAGTTGATGTCCTCGTCCAGTGGTGTTAAAGGCACCGAATCGCCCCGGGTCATGCACCTCCCTACACACACTTAAAGAACACAACACGGCTAGCACAAGCAAAAACTTCACAACTTAACAAAAACATAAATTAAAAGCTAGATTAACACCAAACAAACTTTTCACGACAACAGACCGAATTCCCCGGCAACGGCGCCAAAAACTTTTCTTGCTCTGAATATTACAATAAAATCCCACCTAAGGTCCAAGAATAAACCTTAGATGGGTGCAATATAAGGCAAGTATGTTTAAATATCGACTAGGGCCGGTCCATGTACCGCTACTTTGACTGTTTGAAACATTATCTAGCGGATTATTTTTGGTGAAAGCGATGGTCTAAAACTAAATTTCTTTGCAAAGGTAAAATGGATTTAACACTAGTTGGGAAAGCTTCACCCGGGTGTTGCTCCCCCTAGCTAACAATTATGACTTGAAGAATCGAACGACCGTGTGTGGTTAGTGGGTCATAAACCGCAGGGAAGTGTAACAAGCAGACAAAGTACCCTCTTAGCCTCGAGGTTGAGGAATGAGATACGATCCAAGCCACTAATGTGACCCACTCAACCTATCAACTAAGGAATGGTTAGACTTCACCCTCGAATTGGAGTTCGGACGGCCACCCACAACCAAACCCTAAGTGCTTATGCGAAATAAGAGGTTTGCCCTTTAACTAACCTAGAATAGGAGGCATAAAATGCCCAAGGAAACCCATCTCTAATAGAGCCTCTTAGGTTAAGGAGGGTTCTCTCTAAACTAGCTTAGGAGGCATTGAATGCCAAGGAACCCCATCTCAAAATGAGCCTCTTAGGCTAAGGAGGGTTCTCTCTAAACTAGTTTAGGAGGCATTGAATGCCCAAGGAAACCCAGCTTGAATCGAGGCTCTTTGTGTAAAGGAGTTTTCCTCTCTAAGCTAGCCTAGGAGGCATGAAATGCCCAAGAACACCCATCTCAAATTGAGCCTCTTAACCTAAGAAGGTTTCCTCTCTAAACTAGCCTAGGAGGCATGAAATGCCCAAGAACACCCATCTCAAATTAAGCCTCTTAACCTAAGGAGGTCTCCTCTCTAAGCTAGGTTAGAATGGCAATTAGATTTATATGCTTTACAACACAATCATTTCTGAATAATACCTCCAAATTCACATTAAAACATAACCACACACAAATCATTCAATTCATACAAGAATTCACATAATTGTAGCTAGGGTTTACAAACACCCAAGTGAAAGAAGGGACTACTCCATGCTAGGAGAAGGGAAAACACAAGAGAGGGAAAGGGAAACCATCAAGAAGATGCAAACCTTGCTCCTTGTGCTGAAGAAATCCTCCTTTGGGGGAGAAATTCTCAAAACCTTGCTTGGAGATGAAACCCTAACTTTGGTTCGTCAATTTCTCACTCTAAAATCTGAAGAATGAGAAGTTTCTCACACTAGGTCTCTCCCGTCTTCTTCCTTTCAGCTGGCCTTTTAAGTTGAGATCGCGCCCAGTTCACGGCCTGAGTTCACGGTCCTGACAATTGAAACGCGTCTGTGAACCCAGTGCTGAGATCAAAACGCATCGCTTCATTGGCTCGGGTTCACGGTCAGTAGCCTCTAATCACGGTCTTAGCGACCGTGAACAGCCTGGGCGTCAGTAACTTGAAAACCCTCTCTAGACGCTCCTTGGTTCACAGGTTATGGCTCCAGTTCACAGTCCTGTAAGACCGTGAACTCCAATATCAGGCTGTGAACTTCAACGTCAGGCCGTGAACATTGGCTGTCTCCACCTCTTTGCCCCGTCTTTGCTCTTTTTCTTCCAACTTTCGATTTCGGGTTTGATTTTACCTGTTAGGATCTGAAACAGACTGAAACACAAGCAATCTCGCGTAAAACCAACATTTTTGAAGTTCAATTGCAACAAACATCAAAGAGAATCAGGAATAAAAAATTTACAATTAGGCTCGAATCAAGATGAGTATTAAAAGATACTTTCTGATCTTACAATCCTTGAAGCTAATCATAATCAAACATGAAATAAACGAAAAATCCTATGAGATCCTAATAATCAACAACTCAAAGTAAGCTTTCACTCAAACTGATTATATATATCATCAGTATTCCTGGTTGGTTGTTTTAGCTTGTCTCTTTTTTGTAACCATGATAATAGAGCTTACTAGCAACTAGTTCCCATTTCTTGCAATCCTTTGTTTTAAGAGGAATCCATATATGTGATAGAGATGTGAGGATGGACCCGATTTAATTACAAGTTCTTAGATTTTGGACTCTTAACATGCCGTCACTCGTGTAAACTTAATTTGATTTAAATGCATGCTGATGCACTAGTTGTTCTGTTTTTGAGGGGCTTAAAGGACACTTGAGCTAGGTTCGCATGAAATGAGTTTAGATGGGCTGTTGATTAACTTTGTTAGAGCATGGTGTTTTTCATTTATGCATTTTACCTGTGCTCTGCGTCTCTCTGCTGCATCCTCTCGCTCTTCAGCCACACAAAACTTAAGGATCGTTTGGAAGTTGCGAATATTAAATCATTTCATTGTAATAAATTACCATAATATAAATGCATGTATTGATACAATTTATGCATTTTAACAATACATTGTTTGGTTGTTGAGATTCTACTTTATGCATTGATTTACATAAAGTTACTTTTATGGGGAAATGTCATATTTACGCTCAACTTTTAGTATAAGACAAAAAATATTACGGATATAAATGGAAAGAAAAAGTTGACACAAATGTAAAAGCAACAATCTCAACTTTTAGTTGAGATTGTATAATGCATCGTTCTTTGTGATTGTTGGTGGGACCTACCATGCATTGTTTTATACAATCAGTCTTTAAATTTTTTTTTTTTTGAAAGAATCCAATCTTTAGGTTGAAGATGACTAACAATCAGTCTAACTATTTAAATCGTGTTCAAGTCCATGGTCATTACAGTCTTAGTGTGTTAGTTCTGGTGGGCTCACTCATCGGGTCAAGAGAAAGACAAAACTTATGCATTTTGAAATTTTATTGTGTAAGACCATCTCCAATACTAGTCCTCAAATTCGTGATTGTCCCAATTTTCAACATTTTTGTTTTAATATTAACTTTCAAATTTGGGGACCTTCCTTTTTCTAGTTTTCTTTACTTACAAATGAACTTATTATCATCTTAATCTAATTTGTTCATATAATTTTTGTATAGTTCGTCATCATTTTTAAAAATCAATTTTTTGATAGAATTTTTTTAAATTTCGAGTTCAAATTTTTTTTAGCAACAAATGATTGGCCTAATTTTTCCTTACACACAACACTTGAAAATGATAATGAGAATTTTTTTTAAGTTCAATATTTTAGGGAAAAAAACAAAAATTTCTAAAGTCAGAGTTGAAAAAAAGGAGATATGAGCTATTTAAAAGGGCTAAATTACACGTTTGGTCACTCTAATTATACGAATCTTTCACGTTTGCCACCCGAATCACTTTTCTTTCTTATTCGTCACCAACTTTGCGAATCGTTTCACCGTAGCCATTGGCCGTCCAATTCCGTTAAAATCATCCTACGTGGCAGTCAACTAAACCCTTTGACCGTTAATTTGATGATGTGACATTTAAAATATAATAAAAAATAAATATTAATGTTCAAATTAAAACAATTTATCTTCCACTTTTTCCTCTTCCTCCCAGCTTGGAGTAAACGGATTGGATATTGCTACCCGGTCTCTTACATCAATTATGCCGCTTGTGGAGATTTTTAGAGAAGAAAAGGAGATTCAGATCCTAGGGGGTAGACACTTTGAAACCGAGAAACCCAACGCCCTAATCCATGAAATCAGACCTTTTGCAACGAGGATTTTCTCTGCCAAGCCTTCGCCTTATATACCCTATCCTTCCCCTACCAATGCAATCCACAGTTCCCGCCTCTCCCATTTCAGATTCTGGTCGAACAAATCAAAACTTTTCCCGTCTACGGTTTCAACAGCAACAGACCCGATTCTTGACTCGCCCATGACTGAAACAGATAGCCAAAGGGATAAGTTCGATTGGTTCGCATAATGGTACCCTGTAATGCCGGTTTGTGATCTGGACAAGAGAATCCCACACGCAAAAAAGGTGATCGGTCTCGCTGTCGTCGCGTGGTGGGATCAAAACACGAATGTCTGGAAGGTGTTCGGTGATAGTTTCCCACATTGATTGGCTCCGCTCTCCAAAGGAAGAATCGATAAGTCGGGAGGTTGCAGTGCCTTCATCATGGATGGCGTTTCGACGGCTCTCGCAATTGTAAACTCATCCCTCAGGCTCCGATAAATGGTCCTGTCGGTAAATCCTCAATGAAGGGGATAATAGCTAACGACCGAGAATTGTTGGGCCTCATATCTCTACCACATCAGGCACCGAGTCATCTCCATCACCAAGAGTTGATTCACTAGCAACAGCACCAACGCGTCGGCTCCTAACCAGGTCGCTATATCTGACTCGTAAACGCAGTACCCATTGCTGTTCACATCCGCCTCCACCCTCCCTTGTTTTCCAATAGCGAAAACAGAGTTAAAAAATCTGTTGAACTCAGACGCAAGAGCTGAGAATTTTTTGGGCAATTCAAATTTATTGTGGTGCATCTCTGTTCGGCGGCGACGGCGAGGAAGAAAGCGGCGACAATCAGCAGCGTGGGAGCCATTATTGCTATTGTTATCGATCTCCGGCGGGAATGCAAATCAGGGTTTGAAGAAAAACATAGGATGCAAATGTGTTAGGAGGAAGGACATTTAGCTAAGGCCCAAGGCAAGCTCGAAATGTGAAAACAGTGAAATGGGACCCTTACTCCAAGCTGGGAGGAAGATGAAGAAGTGGAAGATGGAATTTTTTTAATTTGAAAATTATTTTTTTTAAAATGCCATGTCATCAAACTAACGGTCAAAGAATTTAGTTGACTGCCACGTAGGATGATTTTAACATAATTGGATGGCCGGTGGTTACGATGAAACAATTTGTACTGTTAATGACAAATAAGAAAGAAAAGTGATTCGGGTAGCAAACATGAAAGATCTGTATAATTTAAGTAACGAAACGTGTAATTTAGCCTATTTAAAAGATAAGAAATTGAAAATAGAGAGAGGTCATGGTAGATGGTGTGTGCCGATTGAATGGCTGAAAAAAGCTAAATGCTCGATATTGTGAATTCATAATGAAGCATATTCTAATAGAAAACATCGACATATTAGTATTATGATTAACTATTTGTACCTGCTGCTATTTTTCGACCATCCAATTGTTTCGCCAATACCCGAGCATATCTTATAATATCTTTTCAGAACCAGATCAGACGCTGAATTGGAAAAGTTAGTGGTTAAATATTACAAAATCATGAGTAACCGTTAATAGAACCGTTTATAGGATTAACATACAAAACTTGTATAATACACTAATTTAAGGATGAAGTTATCATTGACCATAAACAATTTCAAATTCATATCATCACCCAATTATCTAACAAATAATTCAAACCCTATAACAAAAGAAATCATGATTTTTTGACAAAATACACCTATATAGCCATAACTTTCAAGTTTGTGACAAATATAACCATAACTATCTGAAAGCCCAAAATACCCAATTTCGTCCATACCTTTAACGGTATGAGTTAACGGTGTGACCAGACTGACGGAAAATGACGAGTTGGCAACTTACTGTCCCCACCAATCCACATGGATTAATAAAAAGAAAAGTAAGAAATAAAAATCAATTACTTTAAATGAAAATCATAAAAAAAATCTATCCCCACCTCCACCTTCTTCCGCCTTTACTGCCGACCCCAATCCCTACTTCACTCCTCTGCCCTTCATCTCAAATATCACAATCCACCACAGCCTTCACCAATTCACTCCATGACCAGATCGACTCTTGCCATGCTCATTGCCTCCAAATCAGAAAACGATTCACGCTAGAGAAAGCACATATATCCAAATCTGAAGAGGATTTGCACCGGAGAAAGCATAGATCTCCTCCAACTCTAAAGCCAATTCGCGCCGAGAAAAGCCTGATCAATTTGTTCCTCTCTTGCGACGGCTCGTAGTCTCCTTCATCGGCGCCGAGAAGTCCCCGGTGAGGAATCAGCAGGGCGGCGTACCGCTCGGGGAGGTTGGGATCGTCGGAGAGGATCTTGATGAAGCTCCGGTGACGAGGCTGTGAGTGCGAGGAGTCGCCGCTCTATGGAGATTGGAAAAGAAGACGCCCTCTCGGTCCTCTTAGTGGGGATGAGGTGCGATTCGAAAGGGGGAAGGATCTAGAAGGTGGGGAGGTATTGTGGAGATGGGTGTGGCCACGGGGAAGCGGCTCTAGAAAGGACGATGGTGATATTGGAATATGTGAGGAAGAGGAAGGCAATTTTTGAGGTAGTGTTTATGGTGGCGACGCGGGAGATTCGGAGGTGGCGGTGACCGCGGCGGCGGCCATGGATGGAGCGGAGGGTCTTGAAGTGGGCGAGATCGTTGTTAGGGGAGAAGAAAGGGGTTTGTTAACAAAAAAAATTAAGTAAATTATGATGTGACACCTACGTGGCAAGTGAGGCTGAGTTGTCGCTGATGTGTGCGTCAATTTGGTATCCTAGTTAGCATGTCTTTAATGTAATTGACTGAATATCTAACATTGTTAAAGTTTGTAACAGAAATGGCTAGATTTGTCAAACAACCATCAAAGTCTGACTATTTTGTATTTTCCAAAAGTTGTGGCTATATTTGTTACAAAGGTGAAAGTTGTGGCTATGAAAGTGTATTTTGCCTAATTTTTTTAATACAAATAAAAATTACGAAGCCAGTCGGTAGTGGACACGTAAAGTCGACAACAAGGTTGAAAAATGAGAAGAGGAAACATAAATAAAATTCATAATTTTGATTTAATGATCTTAGTTTACGCTTAAATAAAATTCATCAATAATCGTTCAAAGAATGAACCAAACCGCTATCATAACTAGTTTGACAATTCTAATTGCCAAACCATTGATCGGGTTCTGTTGCTATAACAATGCTTACAAGTTTCGGCCGGGTGACGCTAGGAGAAAGAATATATACATAGTCTGTGACAGTGACGTGTGGCGTCGGCTTCTGCATGGGCTGGCATGGTCGTCAGTGACGCATTGAATTGCAACAGTATGTATATGCAGGGACGAACAGTAATTTTCATCCCCTCTTCCATCCGGCCCCAACTTGACGTTAGACTCTGATGTAATTAGTTAAAATCACAGTGATGTTTCGGGTTCTGATCCATGTGAAAACAAAAACTGAAAGAAAAAAAAAACTGTGGTAAGAAAAGACAGGTCATGGAGATTTAACTACTGCAAGACAAAACTGGGATCCTCCATTTTCACAGAATTGCAGCATCCGCACGTTGCACTGCAGCTACCTAAGCGTCGGCCCTATCTATCTTTTTTTCTTGTGAGAGATCAGTAAATTAAATGAGACCTGTAGAATGCAACTTTCAAGCAAGGAAGCAGGGTGAAGGATCGTCGACATCGTATAATTGAATGCAATGGTGAACGCCCTGATGGAGACAACCATGCACGCAACTGTTCCCAACACCTGTTACGATCGGGAGATTCAAAACCACAGTGAACGCTCTCATCAACTGTTCAACTAGGAGATCAGAAATGCTGAGGTTTGAAACTAAGCTAACAGCTAACTCCTTCTTGGTAACACTCGAATTTTCCTTTCTTTGTATTAGTGAGAGATCAAATATACAAAAAGAAAACCCTTTTCTTTTTATTTATCTCTCTACTCTTATTACCTTCAATTTCTTGATCATGAGCTCGAAAACTCCGATTCCATTTTCGCCATCGCCATCGTCGCTAATTGTATTTCAATTTTCTTAAGAAGTCATTTGTACATGGGCCTTCGAAGGCGAACCTTGGCACTATAAGCACTGTCCCCTATTCCTAAGGAAGTGGAAACCATATATTCAACTGATGGACATGGACAATTCACGCCTTCCAGTATGGGTAAAAATCCTGAATATACCTGTTGAACTCATTATCAAAGCAGAGTTGAGTACGGTCTCTAGTCTATTGGGCAAACCAATCTGTTTGGGTCAAGCTACTAGATAGGGCAAAAGGCTTGGTTTGCAAAAGTCTGTATGGAAATGGACGCTAGAAGGAAGTTCCCTTAGGTTGTTAGGGTTGATACAGATGGGATAGGAGAACTAAAGATAGGAGTTCAATACTGCAATGTTGTGCCACAAATATTGTCTGTTTGGGCATAATTGTGAGTTGAAGGAAGTGGGGACGAAGCAGTGGGTGGTTAAGAATCCTGGGGTTGAGGAAAGGAGGAACTTGATTGTAGTCAAGGTGGTGGAGACTGCGGCCTGTTTCAAAATAAGTAAGTGGAAAGCAGTTGTAGTAAGTTAAGTGGATCCTCAGCTAGAACCCACAGTTGGAGGTAGTGTATCCATAGTTTGTGAAGTAGGTGAGCTCTCCACTGTGCTGACTACTCTTGTCAAACTACCTTCTATAGAGGAATTTGATAGAATTGTTAATGGGATCTCTGATAATCTTGTTGGAGTGATGAGGAAATCCACACCAGTAGTACATAGTAATTATTTTGAGTTGTTTGATCAACATGAGCCAGCATATGGATTTGTGCAGTACAATGGAAATTCTAGGAAGAAACAAGGAGGAGGTGGTAGGAAAACCCCAATTAGTGCAGCTAAAGCTGCCCACCGCTACATCAGATGAGTGTACTTGCTTGGAACATTAGGGGTCGACTCGCTAAAATACAACACCAAATTACGACCAAGTATAATCGTAGAATGAAAATGCAGAATAGTGGTGAAGTTTAATTTAACAACCCGCGGTCTAGATCACTGTCTACTCCGCAAACTTTTATTATATAGCATACTAAGTGTAGTGAGTTGTTCAATCGCAAAGTAATCAGAAAACAAAAAATGTTCTGGTTTTTCAAGTATGTCAAAGGTCATCCAGGTATGATTCCCTCTAGTATGCAGCTAGTTCAGATTATATGTTCCCAATTTGTTTATATTGAAAGATAACTTCCACTAGCTGCAGCTTAGAAAACCCGACTCCAGAATCCACCATCCAAATCCACGGTCGGGGATTTTGAGTTCAGACTGTGGATTTTCCAAAATGGCGCGCATCGATTAGTTGCAAATTCGAAATCCACGATCTCCTCATGAAAATCCCTGGTCATGGAATTGGGGACTTAGACCGTGAATTTCCCGTGAACGGATTAGACAGTCCATTCGTTGAATCAACGGTCGGGGATTTGGAAGCACCAGACCCTGGATTTAGCTGCTATGGTCTCTGGTTCCCATTTGCTCTCCAGTTTCACCCCAGATTTGCTCCTTAGCTTCCATTTACATGCCAGAACCTGAAACATCATCAACAAGCATTACCTAGCGTAAAACGAGCCAAAAAGTAATCAAAAGCTACACCAAACGGTCGATAAATGTCGGAAAAAATATGTGTAAATATGGTGTTATCAAATTCCCCCACACTTAATCGTTTGTTTGTCCCTAAGTAAACCTGACTCAACCCAATGCAACTCTTCATATCGTTATAGCGCTACCCAACCCGGATCACCAGTAGAGGACTTCCTATGTCATTTAGCAACTTACGAGATCAACCGGTTTTCTACGACGTCCCATATTTATCTCAAAGCGAGTACTAGACTA